CTATCACATGAACAAATGTACAATATTGCAAACTTAGAAGACTGGAAAAAATATCTTTTCTATGTCAACATTTACTTATTGATCTAAGTTGCAAGAATGACTGCATAGAATAATGAAAAATCAATTTAATGCTCGTAATTCAGATGTTTGCGAACAGTTGAGTCTTCTGACAGAATGGTGAAGCGTGTGGACTTTAAAGTCTTGAAGGTTTAAAGTCAACAACAACTAAAAGACTTTTTAAGATTTGTAAGAAACGTTAATCATCATTGGCACGATAAACTTCGTAGGACTTCGATGAACTTCTATTGCCATATATTAAGATAGGCAACGATAACAAGTATTCTTGCTACTTTTTCCAGAGCTGAAATTGTATCGTAAGATAAAACATAAGAGCTGTGTTTTACTAAAAGATTGTCGTTATTTATTTAGTCAGTGAAGCACCTAAACTGGCTATGAGCTAATATGAAGTGTGTAAATCTAATCTAATCTGTTAATTTGTGTTTTGCAATTTTATAACTTAAAGCAAAGAAATTTTGTAATATGTTTACTTTTGTTAATATAAATATAATGTTTTTCTTGTTCATTTTTACATCCAAAGAGAAAAAGCCAAAAACACAGCGACAGATACCTCGTACAGGTTGGTGTAGTCAAACAACGCACAATACAGGGTGTTTAAAAAAAAACTGAACAGATAGGAAAACGTCGCTAAAGTAATCAGCTCGCAAGATCAACAAAAACTTTGGTGGAAATAGTTAGATGGACTTCCAATGGTTTATCTGTAGGTAAAATTTTTCAAATAAAAGCTATTTATAGAGTGAGAAGTATGCTACCGGCAAGCACTTTTGAAAAAGCTTGTGCACGAAAATGACAAAGGTAAAAAGCAACTGGAACACTTAGGGTTAAAATATGGCACTTGTTGTTCAAGCTTATCAAATTTCCGGGAAACGTTTGCGACGAAAACGACGTTGCAACTTGAATGTAATTGATACAAAAATGACGTTGCAACTTGAATGTAATTGATACAAAAATGACGTTGTAACTTGAATGTAATTGATACAAGAATGACGTTGCAACTTGAATACAATTCAAGAATGTTATATGCAGTGCAATGTTATAAGAATTTTATATGAATGTTATATGAATGTTGTATGTCAGAATGTTATATATGTTATATCCCGTTGAGTCATCTGAATTTTTCAGGTTCTTGAGACAATTGCTTAAATTGTCCAGCAAAGTGCGAAGATCATATCTACATTTAATTTGAATATAATTGTTACAAAAATGACGTTGCAACTTGAATACAATTGATACAAGAATGACGTTGCAACTTGAATGTAATTGATACAATAATGACGTTGCAACTTGAATACAATTGTTACAAAAATGACGTTTTATCTTGTACTTCCCCCTCACCTACAGCATTTCCATCACAAATTTTAGTCTTTTAATTATTATAAATTATTATTTTCGATTCCTCTTTATGAACTAACAATTTTAAATTAATGAGACAGTAAAATATCGATTTGTTGATTCTTAAATATTATTATTAACGTGATAATAATGTTTTTGTTGTTTTTTTTATATATTAGGAATCGAAAAGCCAAAGCAAGGACAATATTTTGAAGGTTCGTATGGCCATAAGCTATTCTCATAATGAAGTCTATATTTTGTAAATAAAAAAGTCGCTCAGACACCTTGAAAAAATCTTAGTTTTGAACTAACAAACGTCTGCACAACTGTGTACTGAAGTACGAATATCAAATTCTATAAATGTCAAAACGTATGCATCTTTTTATATTTTTATCATTTTTTTCGTAATTCAGTACTAATGGAGAAACTATCACATCCACCACGTCCAGGTTGGTAAAGTTAATTAGCACAGTGATGATGAGTATTTATGGATTTTGGGGGGTTGCTAATGCAAAAAAATAATGTTTTTGTTGTTTGTTTTTATTTTTTCAAAACAATTAATGTCATGTAATGAAGGTTGGTTTTGTCATGATGATTGCTCGTTGACGGTTGTCAGGGTTGCTAATATATTCAGTATATGTAAGAACCAAATGAATTAAATAATTATGTATGATGCATGTGCAAATTCAAATGATGTATGTTTTCAATGTTTTTTTTTGATAATATATAGAATTCACAGTAAAACCATCTTGAAAGCCGCGTACAGGTTAGTACATACATACTAAGTAGAACAGCGTAAAGATAATTGGTTTTTTTGTTTTTGTTCAATAAAAAAATTTGGTCATAAAATTCTGTCATTGCAATGTATGTGTATAAGCAATTGGAGCTCACACTCTTTTTAAAACTTTAAGGACGAAATTTAAATTGTAGCGAGATGATACTTCATACCTAAGATGTTCATGCAGTTCTACTTAAAGTGCGTGAGAAATCAAGAATATTAATAACGTATAAAAATGCTATTTTATGCAGCTACATTAGAAATTCGTGATGGTTATGAAGTATACTAATTTGGACTTCTCAAAACTGTTGCACTTAGCCCCGATGAATGTAACGTTTTTTCCACCTTATAATGATTTCCCTACATTTGTGCTTACTGATGCTCCGCAAATAGTCATTCCCTAGTGTATGAATTTATTTGTTTACGTCGGTGTACTTGGAAATCATTTCTAGATTACATTTTGTTAGCAACCCAGGGGCGGATTCAGAGTGTTGTCAAACTTGCCTTGGCAACAGTCAGACTTGTCGTTACATATTAACAAGTACACCGACGTGCTATTATACGCTTAGCTTAGAAAGCAGTTATCATATATCTGGCATTTTAAGTATACATTCTGCTATAAATCTGAGGAGTGAGCATAGCAAAGAACAAATTGAATACGACTATAAAAACATGTAAATTTTATGTTCTTTGTGTTAGCTGTAGGGAAGAACCCGTGCGGGTGATTATTTTACGAGGTTTGCGCGAGTATATACCGAACATCTTTTTAGGTTTCGGAAAGAGTTCGTACATCTGCCAACACGATTTTTGGGCAACAGTTAGCAGTCTTTTTGTTGCTATATTTAGCATGGTGGGCAACACTCAAGTGTTACCAGCGAATCAAAAGTCGCTGTTCTAATCAGATGGCAATAGTTTGGCAACAGTAAGCAAGAGTTTCCCCTGAATTATTGTGAAGTCTGAATCTATAAGCAAAATAGTTGATAAGTTCTACGATGTAATGTAAAAGACACATAATTGTTCTGTTTATGCTTCAATAAACGTCTTTTACCACAAGCATAGGAACATATGGCCACAGTTTTAGTGAAATTGAAGAGATATTTCGCCGCCAAGCAAAATCAGATAATATAGTTGAAGCGTTAAATACCTTCAACACCAATGTGCAAATCATTTACACTAAGAATACAGGATTCGTTTTAAAATAAGGGACTAGATTGCGATAGGACTTTTCGATAAAACGATAAGACTTTTCTAAACTGCAATCTCCAAAAAGTGAAATTAAATGATCAAATTCAAAGATTACTGTTATACACGTCACTTTGCGTTTGTATTTATAAATACGCTAGTCTGTTATTGTTGACTATATGATTACTTTACATCATGACAACTAATAAGCAATAACATAAGTAAAGTACAACTTATTTAGGCGCAGTATTGTACATGTATTAATATTAGTTGAGTATAGACTGAATCTGCATGCATGATTTCACTTGCTCGTAATAATAACTACACTGGCAAAACATTGTGTCTCCAAGAAAGAGCTTTAATCTCAAAAATTCGTGACGGGGAGGGGCACGTTCATGAACCCTCTATAAACAGCGCTTGTATCTGCTCAATAAATTTTCCAACAGTTACGAAAATAACTGGATCCGCCCCTGCAACCCTCATTAGTACCTTCACCCATTTCATTTTTGTCACAGATTAAATGCTTTATATCAAAACATTATTGGAATTTTTAGTGCCAGTCGTGTTATACAGATGAGAAAATTAGCATATTTCTGAACATAGTCATTATTCCTTTTATCATTGTTGTATAATTTTCCTTTAAGTTGAAGTAATATCGTCACAATCATGGAAATGTATTGATAAATCATCAATGCACCTGAAAAACTCGCAAAAATGAAGGAATATTGACGCGAACATCCAACAAAGGTTATAAATGTTAGTGATAAACTTGTAATTTTCTCGAAAAAGTTTTTGCTTTGTAAAGGAAGTGATGGAACCCGTCTTTATGTTTTATGCTAGTGATGTTTATGACAAATTTAGAGCAGATGAGGTGAATAGAAAGATTGTCAAATATGGGCCTTCATGGACAGAATGGGTCAGATTTATTTGAAATGTTTGCCAGCATTGGTACAGTTGACCAATGCTGCAACAAGAATTATTTAAAAAGATTGGCGATCCGAAAGAGTATTTTCTCAAAACTTTCCCCAGTCTCCCTGGTCGTGTGAACGCTGACGACGAAATAAAAAATAAAACAGGAATCAAAAAATTTTTTAATTTAAATGACACGAATGAATGAGAAATGCTATTTTTGTTGCTACAAACTTTTGTCATACATAAATTTTACCATGATTCACCAGTGTTAGTTTATCGTGCATCAACCATTCAGTGTAGTGTATTTAGTTATCGATTAAATATTTCATTTTTTGGTATTAGTTACGTTAGAATTATTTTGATAGCAAGATACATGCAGCCAGTCCGTTCATATAGCGGCCATGAAGATAAAATAAAAGTTCAAGTTGAATGATTTCGGAACAAACTATTTTTCACTCTATTTAACTTTATGGAGTGAATTTATGATAGACTTATGCATTTTGATAATTTACCATTAGTTTTTTTCTTCCTCAAATATATTTTAGGTTGATATTCAAAATTTTTAAAAAATTATTCAATATCTCCCTCTCCTTTAAAATACTAATATAAATAGTATACTAATTGAAAACATAGCATTTATTCCATAAAATGTAGTTCCTGCTGTGTTGTTTAGAAATGCTCACATGTTTAAAATATTATGTATGTATTTGATGAGATACAAAGCAAGTAGTTTTTGTTTTATTTATCTCTAGTCAGACGCACCAAAACCGGCAAAGAATTCAATCTTGTTGCAGCACTTAAAGAACGGGGAATTTTTCGTAAGTTTTGAAGATTTATTTGTTTTGTGTTCCTTTGAAAGTTAAACACTGATATGCGTTAAAATACAAGGTTAAATTTTTGAATTCTTTCGTTGCATACAATAACAATGTTACGTTAAGAAATTGCATTGCGTCAGAAGTTAAATTTCATTGCTAGGAGCGTGTCTTTTTACCTTGTTGGTTTGTTTCTCATTTTTCTGTGTATACAAATCCTTAGATTATATTTCTAACAGTGCAGGTTTTGAGCACGACACGGTAAAAGTTATATCTTGACGACGTGGTATGCCAGGTATACGATATACTTGACGAGAAGTGCCCACGCAAGCAAATTTTCTTATGAAAAAGAATATCCTGGGAAATATAAGTACTCAGACTTTTAGCCTTAGAAGTATATAATGCCGGTCAAGCGTCTAAATTAGCTACCAAAGAATTTTAAAAATCTGTTCTTAATTAGTTAGATTTGTTATTAACAAAACGCTTCTTTCTTTAATAAGTAAATTTAATTACCAAAAAATTTATTTCTAACTTTTAAAGATTCCAAAGTAAACATTCGATAAAGAGCTTTTGAAACTAGCTGCAAAGTTCGAACTCAATCATGAGAATTTGGAAGGTTTTGGTTACGTTTGTCCCCCCCCCCCTGACACACACACTCAAAAAAACTTTGCGTTGCCAACGAGTGGGCGATTCACTAGTTTTGCATATGTAGATAAATATTTTGAATTTTAAACTGTTTCGGAAATTGTCCATTACACACATTTCTTTAGATTCATGCACAATACTTAATAAATACCTTCTATCTCCCCCCAGCAAAGATCATGATTTCCTGCTGTGGTCTTTTGAAATTACCACATTTTTAAAATATCTTGATCTACCACAAATTTTAAAACAGGTATTTGTCATAGTTTAATGTTTATAGTGCAATGGCACCAAAAATGCCAAAAAATAAAGCACTCATTACAAACACCACGGACGTACTGCCATTACCGACAGAAGACATTATGGAGCTACTGGAGCTCTGCCTCACCTCGACTTACTTCGAGTACAAAGGTACACACTACAAACAATTACACGGAACAGCAATGAGCTCACCCGTTTCTGTTGTATTTGCTGAAATCGTAATTCAATCTAAAGAGGAACGGGCGCTCACGACTTACGGACATGCACTACCTTTTTGGTTCAGCTTCTTAGATGACACAATCACACCACTACATGCAGACGAGATTGATGACTTTCACACTCACATCAACAAACAGAACAGCCACATACAATTTACCAAAGATGTCGAAGAAAATGGAACTCTTCCTTTTCTCGACTGTTTGGTAAAACAAGTCAATCAAAAACTACGAACAACAGTTTATCGCAAGCCAACACATATTGACCGACTATTAGAACAATCATCTTACAACCCCACATCACACAAAGTCATCACAATCAGAACATTAACAAGACGTGCACAAATCATACGTGATTCACCGGACGCTCTATAAAACGAAAACAGCCATCTCAAACGTGTTTTTGACAAAAACAACTATAAGTCTGACTTTATCAAACGCAACACTTACAAACCTAACGAACCCAACGAAACGAACAACTCAGTGACAACAGCAACGATACCTTACATCAAAGGTACGTCTGAGACTATCTCGCGTATCTTACGACAATACAACATACGTGTCGCACATGAACCTATCACAACGTTACGACAAGTACTAACGAACATAAAGGATAAAGAACAACCCAACGAAGGACAAGGTGCAGTTTACAAAAGAAACTGCTCCGAGTGCCACGCCTCCTATATCAGGGAAACTGGCAGGAACTTAAACATAAGACTTACTGAACACAAACGAGCTACAAAGAAACAAGACAAAATTAATCACATTGCCAAAATCACCGAATCACAAAGTACAACGTTGACTGGGACTCGACAAAATGCATCACTTACAGTACTGACTATAGACAACGGCTTACTTTAGAAAGTTGGTATACCAACTTGGAACAAACCCCCCTGAACAGATCACAGCAATTACCTGCACCTTACAAACGACTTATTCACAATACAAACAAACGATCAACAAAAAAATAACACTTCAAACTAATTCACAATGACAATACACATTTGACACCCACACATTTCCTGTACACACAATACAATGACGTAAGAACCAGACAACAAATACGGCTAACCTGACGTTTACTCCTCATTTAACTCTGAGGTTGACTACTGCTAAGGTTGTCAAAACGTCAGTCAACAACAACAAAAACAGTCCTTCTCAGGACTCTACTAACGATACTCCCGGGTTCATACCATTTACTTTAAAAAATGAAAGTTTGTAAAACTGTCATAAACGCACGGCAGGTAAAGATCGTCGTAGGGATTTTAAATTTTCCAGACTTAGCAGCGTATTGTATTCTTCGTGTGTTCAAACACCTGTGCACAAAATAAAAGAATACAGAAAATCCCATCAGTTTGGAGCCAACGTTTTAAACAGTTTCGAGTTATCACATATTATCTGTCTCCATTTCTATAAGAGCCGATTATTGTAACAATAATATATTTTAAAACAGATGCCTTAGGCCAAAGAAGAAAAGAGATGGCGTACACAGAGAGGTGTAAAATTCTTAAATGGAACTCTTTAGTACAAAGGAGAGATTTCCTTTCCTTAGTGAAATGTTATAAAACTGTATTCAATCTAAATGGATTGAGTTTTAGCGAATATTTTGAACTTTGTAAGAACACTAAATCGTGATCTAACCACCCATATAAACTACAGCTCAAACTCGCAAGACTGAACTGTTACAAAAATTCTTTCTTTGTTAGAATTATCAAATCCTGGAATAATCTTCCTATTAATTTATTTAACTTTTGTGACAGACCTAACGTTCGTGAGTTTAAATCAAAATTGAAGAAACACACGAATATTTATTGAATCGTCAGTTAATAATTGATATTTAGCTGTTTCTTATTTGACATTTTTTATTTATTTATTATTTACTATTTATTTTTTATTTATTATTTTTTATTAACTAGTTCTGTAAGATTTTTTACATAAATAGGAGACCCTTGATATAGGGCTAACCTCTGGGTTTCCTTTTTCTTAATAGTGATGTATTTACATGTTGTTCTGAAATAAAGTATTGTAATGCATTTTGGCTGTTCTATTTCCCCTTTAAGGACGTATTAGGCCAGGTCTGTCTGTTTCTATAATAAGGCTGCTTAAGACTTTCATAAATATATTTTTTGAACGTTATTAATAAATAATAGAAAGTAAACCAAAATAAAGCTGATAAGTTTTTATATCTTTCACATATGTTACAAATAAGAATTTTCAGATCACACTCTTATTGCAGTTTAATTTCATACACAGGTAATTGCTACATTTCTAAAACGGTCTCTTCGTTTCCTGAGATCGATTGGCTTAACTGTATTGTATTCTGGCGTGGATTTTTGGTTTGGAAGTTAAAAGCTGAAAGTCGTTAGACTTACCGTTTAATCAAACACGGCATATAAAGAAAAACAGTAATGTTGTGTGTGAATAGTAAAACTGTTGTTCTTGCTGTAATGAGTCGAAACATAAATAAGCTTAAATATTAAATTAACGTGAACAGAAATTTCAATAAAATTAAAATTATTATGTGATCGAAGATGGATGGCAACAAAACGCAATGACAACAAAATGAAGAACGAATGAAATTAAAAAATGTTAAGACCTCTAAAAAATGTTCTTGAGCTTTAATTGCATCTTGTAAAGGGGGTGATTTATTCACGAATCTTGCAAGTACTCAAAATTTCCCATGAAATTTTTTTGATGCAATAGTTGATTGTTTTGTCTTTAGTTATACTGGACGATTATATTTGTCGTTTACAACTGACACAACAAAGAAAATTCATTTTCTCACATCAAACCAATAACAGCCTGATCAATACATGGGTAAAGTCTTTTCTTTCTTGAAATTTGGCTGGCGGTCAGGTTCAGTGAGTCAGCACTTGAAAAAAGGGAATCGTTGTATAAATAATGGCGATTATGAACCAGCAATTGAACACTATATACAATGTTTGAGACCTCCAAGCAAGAATAGCTTCAAAATGATGGCTTATTTTGGTGCTGGCAACGCTTGTGTCCTCTCTGATAAATGGGAGGATGGATTGAACTGTTTTGATGAATGCTTAAAGATTTCTTCAAAAGTGAAACGTAAATTTTGTCAACATCAAGTTTATCTTGGCCTAGGAAATATCGATTCTACCACTGAAAGATTTGTGGACGACCTGAAGAAAAATAAAATGGTCTGTCTTTGCCATATTGCATTGGGAGGATTGAACAAGCGGCTTGGAAATTATGAGAAATCTTTGGAGCATTATAGAAAAGGATTCTTTCTTATTGATTGTCAACACCAAGAAAATCAACAGGAACTAGAAAAAGAACCAAAGAAAGTTGATGGTATTAACATTAGTAAAGATTTCATCGACCACAACATGAAGAACTTGTCAGTTATTACTTCAACTAAAATCATGAATGGAGTGTTAGTTGTTTATCGGGAATTAGCAGAATTGTTTGAAAAACTTAATAGATGGGACGAGGCGACTTGTATTTACAAAATATATATGGAGGTGGCCACTGAAGATGATGATGTACAAGAACAAAGGAATGCTATGGTGTGTTTAATACGAATATACGGAAAAGATGGGCGTGATAACTTGAGGGAGTCAGTACAATTGAAATTACAAGAACTAGATAATAAAAAAAATAATGCAGGTACGAATGCAGGCGAGGGTAAGAGACAACTTTTGCTTCGGCTTAACAATAAATTTAGGATTTTTTAAATAATGCATTATAATTGACATTAGAAGTTTAATGACTGGTAATCCAGGAATGTTTCATTGTAGAAAAGTAAAGGTTTCTCATGATTTTTAAAATTTATTCTATTGAGCTTTTGACTCGGTTCTGACAAAGGCTCGAAGAACGCTCATTAAAATAAATTTTCAAAAATCCGGAGAAACCTTTACTTTTCTACAATTCACATTATATGTACATAGTCGTTCGTTACCAAAATATATGACGTGGATTTGCCAGTGCCAAAGCTTTGTTACGCCAGTCTGGAGACATGATGTATTATATCTGATAATTTTAGTTATCAGCTATATCCTCCACTCTTGCCAGGATTTGTTTCCTCGAACGAGTGGTTTATGATTTAACAATTACTATACGGTTTTACCGTTACGGCAGTTAAACCATCACTGGCGTATAACAATTAAAATAAATTCAGGGTTAGGAGCTTAAGAATTCTACCAAGATTATACTTATAATAGCTAGTTTAAATGTTTAAAAGTATGATCGTGCTAGTGATCGAGATGAACAATTATACCCAGTAATTCTCTAGAATTGGATACCTAAATTTTACCTGAACTGATGGCATAAATGATTTATTTATGAAATTGTTGTTATGGCAAATTGTGCAGTCAGTACCTATTTGAATCATTTGTGCAATGGCGGATGTTGAGTTATTTCTAATTAATTGGTTTTCTTATTTTAGTAATCTTTAAAAGTAATATTTTTACCCGATTTCAGAATTGCAGTTGTTGGAGTGGAAATGCGTTGATGAATCAACTAAACATAATCAATTGTTTCTAAAAATGATTAATTATGGACAAGATCCCAAAGTCAAGGTTGAATATATAAGCGATGTGCGTGTAATTTTCTCCGGAGAATTTTGCATCGGCAAAGGAAGTGATGGAACTCGTGTTTATCTTGGACTGGGAAAAGATGGCTATGGAAAAGCAGTGAAACGAATACCTCGTGATATCTGCATTAGGCTTACACAACAAGAAAAGAAAATTTTCAAAGAATTCATCGAAAAAAAATCGAATGATGTTGTGAATTATTTTTACTTAGAAGAAGACATTACATCAGAATATGTTTATTTAATACTCGACCTGTGTGAAGAATCGCTGGAGGATTTTGTGCAATCGGAATCAAATAGTTTGGCTTATCTTAAAAAATCGCTTCCCAAAATTCTCAGACAAATTTTAAAAGGTTTAGCTCATCTTCACAGCGAGCCACATCCTGTTCTTCATCGAGATTTAAAGCCTTCCAATGTTCTCCGAGATGCTCAAGGCAAATTTCTGATAGCTGACTTTGGTATCAGTCGAATACTGAAAAGTGAATATAATACATTTAAACACGGCCTTATTTGGGGATCTGATTATTGGGTTACTCCCGAATCGTATTGTCCGGATGATGGGTCGATTAAAAAGTCAAATTACAAAAAAGAGTCTGATGTAATGGTATGTTTTAGAATATAACAGTTTTCAAAATACAGATAAATAATAATAAATACATATCTTTATTATTTTATTCACGCTCTTTTCATTGAATTTTAGAACGCAGGAATGGTTGCTTTTTATGTTGCAACAAAAGGGAAACATCCTTTTGGAGATCGAACGACAAGACTGCAAAACTTGTCAAATGGAAACCCTGTTGAATTGAAAAACATAGTAGATGTCGAACTTAAAGATATTCTTTCGTGGATGCAACAATTGAAACCAGAACTCAGACCATCTGCCAACGAGGCGTTAAAACACCCTTATCTACAATCCGATGAATGTAAGTTTGACTTGATGTGTGATGCGGGAAGCCAACCCGAGATAGAGATACCATATTTAGGTCATCCTCTCAACTCAAATGTCCATGAGCAGTTAAATGGGCTAAAAAATTGGAAGGATCGTATTGATCCTGAAGTCTTTAGTAATTTCAATGTGGGACATTACGATGCTACATGGTTGGGTTGCTTGAAATTTATACAAAATGTTCACCAGCATTGGAATGATGTACCTCGTCCAAAACGGCTTCAAAGTGATGGTAATTATAAAACGTTTTTCCTGCAAGTTTTTCCAGAGCTTCCTCTTTTGGTGAACAGAATTATAAGATTAAATGAATGGAAGTCAAAACCAGATCTCGAAGAACACTTTTCAAGTAAGTTACAACATTTAGATATTTGTCTAGTTTAAACAGTGTAGTTAAATTTGTGATAACTTTAGAGGTGAAAACAGCCTTAATATCAACGACCCTCAAAAGAAACATCTTGCTATGGAAAATGAAAGGCTTGAACTTAAGATATATAATCAATTGGGTTAGTCAATGAAGCAAATTAAGTTTTTTACTCAATTACTTGTAATTTAAGTTTCAGTTGCAATATGACGGATAAAATTAGGGGCATATTTTCTTAGGAATACAGGAGGGTGCGAATATTCTCCTCCCAAATTCTCTAGTACCCTCTAACAGAAATTTTAAAATAGTGTTACATACTGTAGAGTAATATTATAACAGTATCTGAAGTAACGAAATTGTACAGTAGGACTGAGTAAAAAGTGGAAGTTATCATTCCAAAGACAATTACATGTTTTATATGACCACCATTTGCAATTGAGTTACTACCATGCCTGTTTTTATTTAAACATTATAATCGAAATACATTATTTAACGCGAAGTAAGCAGTTTTATCATGTCAATTTAATTTGCTGTTTATTTTCTTCTCCCTTGTTTGTCATGTGTGAAAATTACTGTTGTATTCGTGTTTCACTCGTCGTTGGCAATTTACTTAACTTTGCGAAAGAAAAGCTAATTACTCTTTCATTTCGCAAGATTCACTAATCCGTAAGCATAAAAAGCCACAACAGCCCGAGGCCTTGGTGACCTTGGCTAAGATTACGATGCACCCCCTCCTTTAAAAATTCTACACCCCTCCTGTCAAATGAGCATTGATCCACCCCTGGATAAAACCAAAACAATGTCATTTATGTAGTAATGATTTACAATGAAAGTCTCAGATATAGCCAGTTATAGAAAATAAGGGATAGCAAGAAAGACGAGAGAGAAAAATTATGCATTTAAATGGTGTTTTGGTCTCCAATATCGTTTCCAGTATTTTGTAAATTTTAATACACGAGACGAATGGTTATTTATGACTTTATGTTTTACCTTTATACAGTGTTGACTTGACAGAACTTATGAATTCACCAATAAAAAAATTAATATAATAATAATTATATGGCTCACTCGATAAACCGTAGTCAGTTGCTTTTCAGAGCTGGTGGTGTCAAAAGCGTTTTAATGCATTAAAAAAGCTTTTTGTCATTACTTATTTGTTGTCCGTGACTCTCCAGTCCTACCTGAAGCGACTCTTTAGATAACTAATTTATGATTTATTGCAAAGTTCTTCGTCAGACTTGTAGGCAATGAGGGAATTTGAGCTACGTTTTCCCATTTAGTCCTCCCTTATTGTAACAATTGTATGTCATTTTAGAATTGCAGTTGCAAGAATGGAAATACATTGGTGAATCAACAAAACATGAAAAATTGTTCTTACAAATGATTGAGTACAGGCACAATCCCGTTGTTAAAGTCAAATATTTGAATGATGTACGCGTAATTTTCTCAGAGGAATTTTGCATTGGCAAAGGAAGTAATGGAACCCGTGTTTTTCTTGGACTGGGAAAGGATGGTTACGGTAAAGCGGTGAAACGACTACTTCGTGATGAATGTATCAAACTAGCACAACAAGAAAAGGACATTTTTAATGAAATCAAAGCAAAAAAGTCGAAGTATGTTGTGAGTTATTCCTACTTAATAGAAGACACGGGAACAGAGTATGTCTATTTAGTACTAGACCTATGTGAAGAATCGCTGAAGGATTTTGTGCTTTCCGAATTAAATAGTTTGGCTTATCTTCAAAAATTGCTTCCCAAAATTCTTAGACAAATTTTAAGAGGATTAGCTGATCTTCACAGAGATCCGCGTACAATTCTTCATCGGAATTTGAAGCCTTCTAATGTTCTTCGAAACGCTGAAGGAACATTTCTGATAACTGACTTTGGTATTAGTCGCATTTTGAAAAGTGATTACGCGACATTAAAAAGCAATGCTAACAGGGGAACTCAGTATTGGATTGCTCCTGAATCATATAGTGCTGGTGAAGATTCATTTGATAAAACACGTTACAAAAAAGAGTCGGATGTAATGGTAGGTGTTGAAATGTAGCTATTTGCATATTACAAATTAACTCAATTTTTTGATTTACACTGACGCAGTCATGTTTTATTGGTTTTAGAACGCAGGAATGGTGGCTTATTATGTTGCAACGAAAGGAAAGCATCCTTTTGGATCTTTAAAGAATAGACTTCCAAACTTGTTGAATGGAAATCCTGTCGGATTGAACGAAATCAAGGATGCTTCACTCAAAGATCTTCTGTCGCGGATGCTACAACAAAAACCGGAAGACAGACCATCTGCTGACGAGGCGTTAAAACACCCTTATCTACAGTCTGATAATGAAAAATTTGGCACAAAATAAATGAGCAGTCAAATTTAAATACACCATATTTTATACACTCAAATATATGAGAAAACAAGTAAAAAATAGAAACAACTTGCATACTTTTTAATGTAATACGTTTATGGACAGATCCATTGTTGTTGTTTTTTATTTCAACGATGTCAGGTAGTTCTTTGTGCGTTGGTCAATATCCAATACCAACGATTTATATAAAGTATTGATTCTAACAGAAAATATTTTTAGATGTTTATATTAAGCCTGCACTGTCAATTGTACTCATACACTTGTGAATAAAAATAAGTTTGAACTTTTAAAAAATGTAAAAAAAACGTAGTTATTCTGACATATGTTTTCACATATCATTTGCTTTTGCAATTCTAACAAATAGTGTTATTCTGTATTTGTTTTGCACTCCACATTATTGTCGGTAAATTTAGTATTTACTCGTTTGAGCGCCGCAGAGCTCTTCGAATTTTAGAACTTTGGATGCCGCGCTCATTTGGGAGCAGTGCTCTTCAAAAAGATCTGTCAATTGTGCATTGTAACAAGAAGATTTAACATCAAATAAACACGTTTTTACAATATTTTTGCTAGAAAATAAATTTCCGAGAGTGAAATTTATAGTTGTTTTTTGTTAGAGTCTTCATCAGTTTTAATGCTGTGTCGATTACTCATGCATTAAATAATTTGTGCGGCGCTCTTTAAAAAATATTGTTTAAAAATGCTGCTGTCATTCGAGTGAGGAGCTCGTTCCGAGACGGCGCTCAAAGGAGCAAATTCTCGGAATGATAAACCTTCTGGAAACAATGACATTCAAAAAATGTCTTATTTCGTTTATGACATTCAAAAGATTCTTCTTGAAATTTAATGGTGTCTTTGCATAATACCTTCTTAAGTCTTCCATCATTTTTGGGGGAAGGGGCAGACGTAAATTCTCGAGTGGAGTAACTGGCAGAGCACAACTTCGTGTTTTTATTATTAAATATGAAGTAATATTCCTTTCTTACTCCTGAGTAGTGACCTGATGACTTCATAAATTTGTCTTATATTACAAGTCGATCAACTTCGCTCAACTAATGTAAGACAAATTCCTGAAGTCATCAGGTTATCACTCAGGAGAAAGAATGATTTCCCATGACAAACTAGTATATTATCAATTACAATGAGGGTTCTGTAAATTCTGTTCTACAAAAACTGCTCTCGTACGTCTAGTCGACCAAGACTTAATTGATCTTCATAAAGGTAAAGTATCTTGCCTTTTTTCAATTGATTACATAAAAGCTTTTGCATGACTAGGTCGATCATAAAGTATTATTGCAAAAAATTGAAGCAAAATGGGTTCACCGAATTGAACTTTAAAGCTTCTTCGAAATTATTTACATGATCGTCTTCCATATGTCCAAATTTATGATAATCAGAAAAGCTTATCTGGCCTCCGGCAAAGAAATTTTTTAAGACCTTTGTTATTTCTTCTTTTTATAAATGACATGCCTTTAGCAATACAACGTTCTGTACTTAATATATGTGCAGATGAATAAGTAACTATTCAGATGTAAAAGATGTGCCTTAATTAATGTAGCAAAACAAAATGCATGATGATTACCAGGTTTGTAACCAGAAACTACTTGGAGTGATACTTGACAAGTGACAGTCTCTAGGCTTTAAACAACATGTTGAGCAGCTATGTAAAAATTGTCTCAAAGAATAGCAGTACTGAGAAAAATTTGACGTTATCTGTCTATTAGTGAGCAAATATTAAGCCGTTAAGAACCACGCTCGAGGCCTTTAGAGAGAAAAATCAGACCGAGGTCTTGTTGTACATTGATTTTTAGGGGATTTTCCATTGTATTTAACTAATATCCTTCAATCGAATATGGATGTTCATGGCTTGCAAAAATGTTATGGAAACTGCAAAAATTGTTTGGAAGTTGCAAACTAAAATATCGATTATATAGCGTTAAAAATCATGGCATATTTTTGTCTTTGTAATTACGCTTACACATTCTCTGAAAAACGATAGAAAGGATTGAATTGCTTTGATCATTGTTTTTGCTTGAATGTTTCTTTTAAATTGAAAGGAAATGTTTTCGACATCAATTTCATCTTGGCCTAGAGAGTGTCACTGAAGATAGTAGGATATGCATGGAGTACGAAATAAAAAAAGATTAAATGATCTGCTTCTGCCATAATGCACAGGGAGGATTGAATAAGCTGCTAGGAAATTAAAGTAAATGGTTTGAACCCTGGAGTATCGTAACATGTTTGTGGATGAAGATCAGCCAGGTCAGTAGAGTCTTGAGAACGACTGTTGGTATTGATGTACAATTTGGCGGTATTCAACAGACCTTCTCAAGACTCCACTAACCTGGACGATCTTCATCCAAAAACATGCTGCTTGCCTTGGAAATTATTAGAAATCTAGCATTATAGAAATCTAGAGCGTTATGAAGGATTCTTTCTTATTGATTGTCAGTAAGATATTATTTTGAAATTCGTGGGAGTCCGTGAAAAGGAAGTCACGGTCCATTTCTAACTCAAAATACGTTTTTCTAAACAAAATTAAAATCGAGTAGAAGCAGAGCATCTCTGCTTGTATCAAGTGAATTGTATTTCTGTCGTCATATTTCACTTATAACTTTCCTTTACATTTTATTGACTTGTTATATATTTAACTTATTTTTTATGATGGAGACGAAAATCTTTATGATCATCAACTGAAGATAAGTTAGGTAAAATCGGTGAGTTTTAATGGAGTGGAGATTAATTAAGTAAGATGAATGTTAATTTTTTAAATGGAAACATCGATATTAAACTTTACTAAAAATGTAAACTAATATTCACCAAATGAACTTCGAAATAAAAATAGCTGTAGCGAAGAATCAAGCTTAGTCATAGTTTTTGTGCGTCAACGGATATACGATGTGAGTAAGCACAACAACGCGCTACAAGCTAACCACACAAGCCCGACCACAAAGTATGAAAGCACTATAACGCGCTTAGAAGGAACTAAGTCATCCCACTATTACGTGCAGGATATGACGGGGAACACTCCCTTTAGTTATTATATAAAGACAAGACCAGAGATAAATAGTTATAGCAGAATTCAATGTAACTCGTATAATTAAATATAATATAATAATAATGATACGTGGCAAGTGTATGATTTCCTGGCGCAAGTGCATATACCGAGGGACATGAGGATCCAAATCTGACTGTTCTACGGTCCAACGTTACATTGGTGGCAGCGGTGGGATCCTTGAAATCAGCCTAAAGTCAGAGAGTCGGTGGATGACGAACTGTTTGTGCTTAAATAAACCGACAGTTGCTACCCTGGGCTCGTGTTCGTTCTTTAGGAACGGATTGGATATGCACTGTAGGTTCTGTTGCTAGGTTAGTTCTTTGTCTGGGCGTATGTGTCTTTTAAGCATAATTAATGAGAGTTAATCGCTAATAAAATAAGCGAAAACATGACTGAAGAAGGTGCTAGTAGCAGCAATTTCGCTAATTCCATCCCCCACAGGGTACTTGTAATGCCAGAAGCTTTCGCAGCATCTGAAAAGGAAGACTGGATTTCGTGGCTTAAATATTTTAATAATTGCGCAAAATTAAATAAATGGGATAACGAAGAGAAACGTGATTTCTTGGCCGTTCGTCTCCGGGGCGCTGCACAAGAAACATATTTTTCCTTGTCAGAGGAAGCGCAGGCGGGAACTTTTGGAGTACTTTCTGAAGCCCTCAGTAAGAAATTCGCACCCACAGAGCGGTTAGAATTATATAAAGCTGAGTTTCAAGCTAGGCGACGCGCACAGGGGGAAAAGTTAGGTGAGCTCGCAGCAGGCTTAAGTAAGATGGCTAGGAGAGCATTCCCAGGCGCAACGACAGACAGTCTCGATCGTTTGGCTATGGATCGATTTATAGCGTCTTTGGACAATGTTGACCTTCGTATTCGTCTGCGGGAAGGCAATCCAAAGACGCTGGGTGAAAGCTTAAGTCGTGCGATCCAGCTTGAGGAAATTTACGAGGCAGAAAACAGTACTGCTCGTAGTAAGACGTCTCGGGTGCAGGCGGTCGAGAGGCCTAGCGAGTCACGCATACTGGAGATGCTCAGCAAGCAGACTACAGCACTTGAAAAGGCCGTAAGCTTACTTACTGACCGTGCTAAACCTGAGATTCGCCAAAATAACCATAGGCCAGGCAATAAGTTTAAGTGTGGTAAGAAAACTTGATGGAAAGGCGGTGGGGTAGGTCACTTTAAAGCTAATTGCCCTACCAATGATTCAAGCGAAAAACAGGAAAACTAGGCCAGGCTGGCACCGCGGGTCACGTGCCAGCCGATGATTCATCTAAGACCCATAAAACAGGTTCCAAAAGCTGGGAAGGGGGTGCAGGAGTGTCAATACCCAAAGTTTTAGGTTCGTACAGCGTCAATGACGGCGCGAGTCTTTACGTCCCTGGGTGGGTAGGTAATGTTGAAATAGACATGCTCTTGGACACGGGTTCTGCGGTAACTCTCATTCATAAGCGAGTATTGGATAAAGTGGATAAGGGTAAGAAGATGTCTGACGTAGAAGAACAGGTCATTTCAGCAAATGGTCAACTCTAGGAATTTTGGGGGGGTTTGAAGTTAAACTATGTTTGGGAGACATTAGCACTAACCACAATGTTTTAGTTGCAAATGACATTACTCAGGATTGCTTGATCGGTGTTGACTTTTTGGGTAAAAACAATTGCTTAATTGATTTTAAGACTGGTGTAGTTAAGGCTGGGAATAGAGAGGTTGTCATGGGTTGTAAGCGGGAAGATTGGACATGTAGTCGGGTTAGTTTGGTGGAAACGGTTACGATACCGGGAAGACATGAAATGATCATGTCTGCAAAAGTTAGGGCGGTAAGTGATACTGTCACTGGTTTAATAGAGCCCTGTCCAAGATTTTTGGGTAAGCCCTCAGTCTTGGTGGCCCGAGTAGTAACTCAACCAAAAGATAACCAGGTACCTGTCAGGTTATGCAACCCTTCTCCGGAGCCAGTAGTGTTACATAAGGGATGCACACTTGGAACATTTGCTCAATGTGAGGTGAGCCACTCTCTAAAGTCTACTACCAACGATTTTCAAGTTACATCCGTCTGTAAGCGTCGTAAGCGATCGAAAGCAACATCGATAAAAGCATCTCGTGCAGCAGTGTCACATTTATTCAGCTGGGACGATACGGACATTAGCAGTTTACAGAAATCTCGGGTAAACGAACTTTTAAATGACTTCGAGGATGTTGTGTCAAAATATTTATCGAACATTGGCAGAACAAATCGGGTAAAACATCGCATTCCTACGGGCAATGCACCTCCTATCAAACAGTCCCCATGGCGAGTTCCCATTCACCAGAAGGACGAGTTGGATAAGAAT